TGAAAATCAAAACATCCATATGAACATACAGAAACATCCAAGTCTTGAATTGAAGATCAGAGGGTTCAAAGGAATCACAATGTCTCAGGTGAATCATAAAGTCTCACATACCACTCCAAGCAAAGGAAAAATACTAAGTCTAAGGTTCAAAGTCCAACATATTCCTCAAGCAATGGATAGTAACACAAAGTCCAAAGCATTAGATCAAAGTTTTTTAAGGTCTTACCCATTTTATCATGTTTTTCTGTTCTTTTTTAATTAATAAAGCAAAAGAATGCATAAAGATAAAAGACAAGAATGTAAATGCCATAAATGTAAATGACATAAAAGTAAATGACATAAAATTAAATGACATAAATGTAAAGACATAAAGTAAAAGACATAAATGTAAAGACATAAGTGTTATCACAATTAATATTTCAATGTTAGTATTAATGGGAATTTAATCGAGTCGGTACAATTTAGTGATATGTTAAGCAATCGTAAATGGACTTATGTAGAAGTCACACCTATCTGAGACCGATCAATAACAATTTATGTGTCAACATGTTAGAGAACTAACACAAAGTTAGCCTCCTAAAATAATGTCACATAATAGTCAAAACAAAATCAATAAGAAGAAAATGGAGAAGGAGGATAAAAGATCTAAAGCAAACATGTTGGGATCATCTATCAACAAGCCAAAGACTCAAGACATGGTCTAAACAAGAGATAACATATCTCTGATACAAAGTGTAAAAAATGATCAGATGATCATTTATCAACAATTTTGAACCAGAAAAGATTGAATCAACCAAAGGACCAAACAATCAAGGACTTGGAATGTTGAAAATATGTTCAACCAAGTAATCAACAAGAGCCAAAATCAGGACATGCAAAATACTGAACAAAAAACAATAAGAATATATTTTTTTTAAATGATTTAAAATGGAAAATACCAAAGAGGTATTAAAACATCAAATAAATGGCAAAAAAATGAGAAAAGCCAATGATACTATAGGTAATGAGATCTTAAAAGTTGGAACCCAAGAGGTTTGAAAATGGTGAAAAATGAAATGCAAAAAGAAATTTTAAGAAGAAAATAAGAAGAAAGAAATAAGTTCTAAAAAAGATTTTTAAAATGTTTAAAAAATAAAATCAGATGGATTTTTTTTTTAATTTATGAAAATAATTGGAGTCAAAAAGGAGTTAGGAGCTATTTTTAATGATTTTTGAAAGAAAAAAGAATTTAAAAACTAATTAAAACAAAATTAAAATAAGCGAAAAAACCTGAGCCATCAGATCTAATTACTAAAGTCCAAGTCATCAGATCACATGGTCAGGAATTAAATTCAAAGCGCACTCACCATAGGATCGCTGCACCATGTTGCAACGATCAAAGGAATTAAAAAAATACGTGTCAGGCCATGATTGGTTGGATTCAAATATTTTGGTGTGAAAAACACAAGAACACAAGGGAAGCGTTGTCATCTTCAACCTCAAGTTTATCCATGGCAAATTAAGAACTTGTGTTTTTTGGATAAAAACAAGATCGTTTCATGACCCTAACACACCATCGCCCCTGACTCCATGCTTCAGAGCCATTGAATGGCCCTGAGCATAGAGGATTTACTCAATCAACAGATGAACCATAAATCTTAAAACAAAAATTAAATGCTGAAATTAAAAGATAAATGCGTAAGGATAAATGGCTTTTAATCAGTGAAGCAAGGCGAATCAAATGCTAACTGCAGTAACTTTACTTAAACTACCTTGTTAAAATCGAAGCTCGGATTGAAGATGGTGAAAACGATTAGAGCAATTCACTTGATATAAAGGCTTGGTTTCAGTTGGAGAAGGTTCAGAAGATGTCGGTGAAGTTTTATGGGCAAAGAAATGAGATCAAACAAGCCTGGTTTAGTGCAATGGTTAACTAGTTTTTGAGTGAAGTTGCAGAGAAAATGGCAGGGTTTCTATGGCTTTCTAAGCTTGGAAAATGAGGGAGAAACTTAATCTATTTATAGGGAAATATGAATGAAGCTTGTACGTGTGAATTGAGCAAGACTCGTGTGGGTTTGGATCTGAAATTGTGAATTGCAAGCTTGACCCAAGTGAGATGTGAAATGTGTGAATAAGTGAGGCGGCATAGTCGTTTTGCACGCGTTTTGCTTATTTTTACATCACTTAATCAAATACAATTGATAGGTTGGTTGTATGGCTACCACCAGAATCTTACATCAAGGTAGTGACCGCCAAGTCCGTCTGACTTATAGGATTGCCCATCAAAATCTTCACCTTTTTAAGTGATCCAGATTTTGAGCCTCCGGGAGGAGGAAGGAACTCACCGTAGGGGTCCGAAGTGCCTGGGGATACTTTCCCGATTGTCCATACCTTCTTCCTTTTAAGAGTCTGGGTTTGGATATCGAATAAGTCACTTTTAGAGGCAGATTGTCCCCCATGCCTCGCCCTCGCTTCAACCATTAGCTTCTTCTGTTCTGTTAGCTTAAGCCTCGTCATTTCAGCTGGAAAAAATGAACAAAATAAAGTTTAGAAAAATAAAATAATGAGGTCACTATAGAATAATAAGAGGCATATATAAGCATTACATAAGAATTTAGAGATTTGTTTCGGATCATCAGCCATGTGTAGCAACTCCTTGACTTTCACTACTTTAAAGGCATCCAGAATGGCTAAAGCCCGTGTTTCCAAAGCATTTAGCTTGTCGTAATCAAAACCGAACACCTGTAGTGGGTTATCCCTTCAGTAAATCGGGAAACTATAGTTCTCGTCCAACGCATACATAACTTGAAGGAATTTTTTTCCACTCTTTACCAGAAGGAACTTATCCTTGGAACCTTTATAGCTATTAGTATAAGCCTGGAGGAAACGTTTCCCTGGGATTCCACTAGTGGAAACCCAACCTCTCTCGTTCGCCCCTTTCAGCTCAAAGAAAGAAAAGAACAAACCTAAAATAGGAATTATGCCCACTGCCTTGCAAACAAGTTCAAAAGCTTTAATGAAGCCTCTGCGATTTGGGTGTAATTGAGAAGGGGCAATATTTAGGGTTTTGAGGAGATCGGATTCAAAGTCAGAAAAGGGGATATGAATCTTAAAATCCTCGAGTACCCTTGAGTAAAAGTAAAAATACTCATCTGACACTTCTTTTGGTCGAGTAATGCGAACTCTCTCACCAACCACACAAGGTTCCAGCACGACATCCTCCTCATTCTTAGTAGAGGAAATCTGTTTGTTGGAGTGGAGTTTTGAGATGTTGCTATCATCAATGACGTTGTGGTCATAACTTAGAACTTCTTTGTCAATCAGGGACCCTTCCATCTCCATCAAAAAGTCCATAATTCCTTATGACGAAGATTTCGAGTCAGTTTTACTATGAGGTGAAGAAATATCACCATAAACTTCCCTAATAATATGATCAAACTCAGCTTGCTTCAGATGGCCCTCACATTCTTTCACGCATTCATCCCAAAGTTTTCTTCTCTCGTGGGAATTGAGGGAAATCGATACTTCTCTTGAATCACCACACTCGCGTATTATAACCACAATAAAATAATAAAAAAGAGAGAGTAAGTGAGGCAGAGAAACAATACCCGGGGCTTATGCTTGCAAAAAATGATTGACAGAAGACGCAAAGAAAATCTGTTTAGCAAGTCTTGAAGAAAAAAGGAAGAGAGTCACAAACGGTAAAGGAACAAAAAAGGAAAGCTTTTTTTATAGAAGTGAGTTTTACAACGATCAAGAAGCTCTATTGAGTTTGAGTAATCATGATAAGCTGGTTCCCCATGAAAATCATCATGACAAGGAGAGAGAAAATGATTGTCATTATTACTCTTTTAAAAACCAATGTCACACAGTAACTTACTGAGAAGGTGAACAACTCAAGGAAGAAGGAATTCCAGGACCTTCTGTCTGAACACTTCATTCCGTTGAACCTCATGATCGATGGACTTATGTCCGAAATTCTCGAGGTCGGGCTATTGAAGCCGAGTACGACAAAGACTACGAAATGAACAAGTTGGACCCAATCTCATGAGAGTGATGGTGGACGACACAGACAGGTGGATTCGGTCTCAAGAGAGTGCTGGTAAACGACATGAACGGTCACACGTAATGGTTTTAAGGTAGCTTCATGATTATATGGGAGTTACAAAAAATGACGGGAAAGACATTACATGATGGTAAAAGAGGATGACAATCGTTATTGACACCATTTAAACATAGGATTTGAAGGAAGACTTCTTAAAAAACCATTGAAAATATGATAGGTATAAAAAGGCTTCTCATCAAAAAAGAAAAAACTGACAAAAAGACCATCCTTTATACATTACAATTAGGATCTCACCAGATTTGACACATGAAGATTAATCAAATATTATTTTATATATATATATATATATATATATATATATATATATATATATATATATATATATATATATATATATATATATATATATATTAATGAGATATTTTTTTTTAAATATTTAATATTTAACTAATTGATAAGTGATGTCCCACTAACCATTCAATTTCAACCTAACCATATCTAATTCTTTCAAACTCAAATTATTATTAGTAAACACTAATAATAACCATTTTGAGGATAGCTAAAGTGGATTATTGCACAAGACTTTAAAATTTTCACTATAAATTCGTTTTAAATAAAATCTTATAAAATATTTATAATAATTAAATAATACTTCTATTTATTTTTCTATAATTAAACTACAACTTATCTACCCTAGACATTAAAAAAATTGACATGGCTAACCCAAATATGAATGAATCAATTTAGGCAAGTCAATTGACTATACCTTACCCAAACCGGCACTTAATGGGAATAAAACAAGACAACGATAGCTGCCTTTCAACAATGACAACCGACAGCCACCTTCACCAATGACACCTAACATAAAATTTTCATATATCAAGAAGCAAATCACCCATTTCCAATTTCATTTTGTGAAGAATCCTAAACACCTAACACCAACACCTAAAACCACATGACAACTTGCTCCAACATAGATACTTTGCCAGAGGATTGTGTTTCAAAAATTCTATCCTACACATCTCCACCAGACGCATGTAATTTCTCAATGGTTTCCTCAGCTCTTCAATCACCTGCTAACTCTGACACACTCTGGAGAACCTTCTTACCCTCTGATTATGATCACATCCTTTCAAGAATCCTCAATCCTTTAACTCTTGAATCTTCTTCATATAAACATCTCTTCTACTCTCTCTCCCAACAACCCCTTCTCCTAGACAAAGGCAACATCGTAAGTACGAAAATTCACCTTAATGATTTCAAACTTTTCAAAAACTAGCTTTTGATTTATGATTTATTATTTTTTATTATCATGCAGAGTCTTAAATTGGATAAGTCTTCGGGTAAAAAATCATATATATTATCTGCTAGAGAATTGTCGATAACATGGAGCAATGATCCAATGTATTGGAGCTGGAGACCAACTACTGAATCAAGGTAAACTAAACTATTTTAATCTCAAGGTTAATTGTTTAAAAGTGTTTAACATATTGATCATGATTAATAAGAAGGGTAGAATTCTAACATACCCTGATTTGGTGTGAATACTCCTATTAGGTGGCTACGTACCATAAGAGACATGTGTATTATATTAATGTTTCATATTGATCTTATTACTATTTGAATATAGTATCTATATAAAATAAGTTTTTAATATGAGATACGTTTATTATTTTAATGTACATAACTTTGTAAAATTGTGTTTATCAACATTGAATTTTTCACCACTTCACATTAGATCTTTGTTGGAACAATGGGAACATAATCTAAGATGACAAAAATTTAAAAAGACCATGTTAACTATAATAGAATTTTTTTGACACAATTAACTTTAATAGATTAGATATTGAAAAAATTAATTATTTGAGTTTAATTACATTTTGGTTTCTTAATTTACCACATTTATAATTTTTTTCTTCTTTAATATATAACAACTTTGTTACACTAATACATAAATATAAAACAAAATAATACCAAAAAAAAAAATACAGCATATCTAAATCAACTATTTATATTTATTTAACTTAACTAACACATATTTTTATTTTTATTTTAAATTTAAACAGTTTTGATTTATTCTCATATTTTTAATTAAGAGTCAATGATTTATCTATTTTCAGTGACTTATAAATTTATCATTAAAATTTTATTAAGATTTTATTTTATTTTTGATAAAAGTATATCTTTTTATTTTAAATTTAAATGATTTTAATTTATTCTCATATTTTTAATTAAAAACTAGTGTTATGGCTATTTTTAAATGACTTTTTTAATTATATTTTTATCATTAAAATTTTAATAAAATTTTTTAATTTCTTTTTTTTTCAAAAAAGTATTTATATACGATAATTTATTATATTTAAAAATAAATAAAAAATCATTTCAAAGTAAAAAGAATACAAGATGAGTTATAAATTATTTAAATTTAAAATAAAGGATTAACTCAAGATAAAGAATATAATTAATCATATTAATTATTTTTATTACTATTTTTATGAACTAATGATATAATTTGTAATAATTAATTAAGATGTTTGGGAGTATCATATAGATGAAAATAAATAAAATTGATTTTATTCTCATTCTACTCCTCCCACGTTCTTAAGTGCAATTTCTGTACTAGGAAAAGACAAAAGGAAGAAGAAAAAACAGATAAAAACAGGAAATGAAGATAAAATTAAATATAAACGTGATAAGGATATGCACTAAAAATAAATAGTTAAACGTGATAAGGACGACAAGAAGTAAATAAGTAGAACAAATCTTATCTTAAATAAAGTAGATAGAACAAAAAAATATATAAAGAAAATGAAAGTGATATATGTGAAAATCTCTATTCTCTTATTCCCCAGTTATTATAATATAAAAGGAATTTAATAATTTTGCAGATTTGCAGAGGTGGCAGAGCTAAGAACAATAAGCTGGTTAGAAATAAAAGGCAAAATAAGAACAAAAGTTCTAACACCAAACACATTATACGCAGTTTATCTCATCACAAAGGTTTCACATCGTGTGTATGGACTTGATTATGCTCCTGCTGAGGTATCAGTTTCAGTGGCCAACAGAGTGCAAAATTCCAAGGCATATTTGTATAATAAATATGAAGATACTCTATTTTGTGAGAAGTATGAGGGGATTCAAGTTCCGTCGAAAAGAGATGATGGGTGGATGGAAATTGAATTGGGAGAGTTTTTATGTGGTGATGAAATTGAAGATGATGAAGAGGTTAAGATGAGTGTTATGGAGGTTGGTTATAGATTGAAGGGTGGTCTCATAGTTGAAGGAATTGAAGTTAGACCAAAACATGTTTGACTTAGTAAAACAAAATAGAGGGTAAAGGTTTTTTTGTTACAATAATGACATTTTTTAATTGCCATGTATTTTTGTAAATATAATAAATACTAAAAAAGAGGAATAAATGTGTAATTATAATACATAGGGAATTATGTGAAAATTTATTTTAAATTATCCTTTTCTTTTAAGGTAATGATAACTTGTGTCATTAAGCACAAGTTAAAAGAAAACTATTGTAAAAGTTTATTAGAAATTGTGTATAAGTTAATATAAAATTATAATTAATGAGTTTATTGTTTTTTTTAATAAAAATATTCTATTTATGAGTTTTTTAATATATGCTTTGGTGCACAAGTTAATATTACTTTTTTTTAATTGATTGAAAAATTTGTTTAAATAAAAGAGAAAGAAATATATTTTTCTTTAAATTAATCAATGCACATTGATTGAAAATTTTGTTTAAATAAAAGAGAGAGAGAAATATATTTTTAATTAAATTATCTTATATATTTTTATTTTTCTAAAAATGTAAAAGAAAGATATATTAGTAGTTGAAAGGTAATGATAACGAGTGTTTCCGAGATACTAATTAAAAAGATAAGTTGAGTATTTTTTAAAAGACTAAAAAGACAAGTTTTTTTATAAAAAATATGTTTATTTAATGCACTGAAAACTGAAACAATTAACTTCTTTATTTGGAATTCTTAACCAGTGTCTCAACTGAAGCTAGCGGGATTATACCTGAGTGAATCGCACACTCAAAGATACAACAGAGTCGCACCGTATTTTATTTAGTCCCAAATGACAGGGAAAATATCGATAAAACTCAAAGGGAAGAGAAACGAGAAAGGGGGTCGGTTATGCAAAAGGAAGGTACTAGCACCTTAAGCATTCGTCGTACCCGACATAAACCATTTCGCTTGCATCTAGGCTTGGATGTGTTATCTATCTAAAGACTTCTAGTTAAAAAAAGAGAAGAGAGAAAAAGAAAGAAAGAAAAAAAAGAAAGTGTTCGTGGAGGATTGAGGTCCTCGTGCCTACGTACCATCATAATGCAACGAGGAAGTCAGAGCTCCGTAGTTCAAGGAACCAAGAAAGAAAGAAGGTCTGGGCGGACCAGAGAGAAAGAAGAAATGGAAAAAGGTGGAGGAAGGTGGCTCGCCAAGATTTCGCAATCTTGTGCCTACGTACCCTCATAGTGCAATGAGGAAATCAGAGCCTACGTATTTCGGGGAACTAACGCTTAAAAAGAAAAGGAAAAGAGACGGCGTCAAAGCCAAAAGAGAAAGTTGTAGAAAGCAAGACTCGATTGGGGAATGCAAGAGAAGTGGTGACAAAACCAAGAAAGAAAGACAATGGAAAACTTTGCTGAGGAACGCAGAAGAGAAGTGATAGCTCCACTGGGGAACACTGAAGAATAGGGATGACTCCACTGGGGAGAAAACAAAAGAATGACGACGTTGTCGGGAAAAGGAGATAAGAATCGAAATAAAAGGTAAGATCTGCAGGGAATTTAGTGCATTAACTGGTCGACAGTGATAAACCGAAGAAAAATAAGAGCAAAAACTCTGTGGGAAAAGCAAAATGTTAGTGCCAATAGACGGATTGCAACAAACCAAAAGAAAGAGAGTACTGAACCAAAGGGAGGTGTTTGACTCCGAGGAGAATTCGGTATATTAATTGATAAACAGTGGTTAATCAAAAATAGATGAGAGTTGGTTTTAATCGGTAGAAGGTGATCAACCAAAAAGACGGGTGTGGAACCAAGCAAAGGTTGTGACCTAAAGGACGGGTGTGGAACCAAGCGAAGGTTGTGACCCAAAGGATGTTACACTGATTGAACACACAATACTTGACCGAAGGAAAGTGTATTTGAACCGAATGAAGGTTACTAACCCAAAGCTGGCAGTATTTGAACCAAAGAAAAGTTGCTAACTACAGGCGGTTCGGTGTTTAACAGATGGACTGTGATTAACCGAAAAGAATGAGTGATTAACCAAGAGAAGGTTATTAACTCAAAAGAAACTCAGTATTTTAACAGACGGATTGTGGTTAACTGAGAAAAAGGGTGATTGGTTCAAACAGAAAGACTATGATTGACTCAAAGGCGGGTGATTAACCAAGAGAAAGTGATTAACCCAAAGAAAAGTTGGTTTTAACGGGCAGACCGTGATCAACCACAGATTGGGTGATTAGCCGGAAGAAGGCGATTAACCTAAAGAAAGTTCAGTATTAACAGACAAACTGTGATTAACTGAGGAAAAGACGACTAATGTTTAACTGACAGGCAGTGATTAACCCAACAAGAAGGAGAGAGAACTAAAAGAAGGTTGTGAGCCCTGATGGGGACTAGGTTCTAACAAGAAGACTGTGTTAATTGAAGAAGAAAGATTGACTTTGCTGAGGAAGAAGAGAATTGGTTTTAACCAAAGAAACGGTTGATCAACCAAGAAAAGGGATTGAGTAACAATCTCAAGTGAAACCAAGGATGGGTTGGCCACAAGAGAAAAGAGTGTTGAATCAAAAGGAGGAAGTTACTTCCAAAGAGGAGGTAAGGGTTCAAGTGATCAAGGATCGACTCGACTGGAGAACCAGGGATACCACAATAAGGAGATATAGGCGACTATTCCAGGCACAAGGTCATTTGTCCCCTACCCAAAATAGTCAGAATGAGTGCAGGAATTCTCCACTCTCATTCCTTCTCTAACACCAAAGTGTAGTGTACGAAACGAAACAGACAACACAACGGTGTAAAACTTGTATAGTACTCCAATGCGTTGCAAATGTTCAACTCCACGGGGAAAAAGAGAAAGAGGACAAAGCTCTAGAAGATCTAAAGGAGGAGAAAATGAGAAGGATCAACTAATCGAAACGAAGTTTCGATTAATCAATTAAAAGAGGATGATGCTAACAATTTTCCAAAGGGATGAAAAATCATTAAAGCAAAGGATGAATTATTGATTATACAAGATTAAGCTCATTCCAAAGAGCACCAAACTTAATGCAAACATAAATGGAAGTGAAAAACAGTACCAAATGTCATTTAGTATGCACCACAAATCATGTATCATGTGATGCAAGAATGATATGATCATACAAGTGTCACAAAATGCAAGTAATCAAGAATTGAAAAATTGCACATTGAAATTTTGCGTACATGCATCCAACAGAAGTTAAATAGCTCATAAAATATCCTTAAATATCAAGCATATTGTTAAGGGTCAAATTTTGCATACTTTTAACTTGATTTTATGGTCCTTTCAATTGGTTTTCTTGATAACTTAGTCTAATATCTAGTAGTTTTAAGTGTATTTATGTTGATTTCCGATTTTAGTGTAAATATTGTGAATATTGAGCATTTTGATGTTCCTTAACAGTTCTTCTTGCCTATTTTTGATGATAGGAACAATTGGTGAAAGAAAGAAGGACTGAAAAGCAAGTTTTGAAGTTTTCGTGTCGGCATAGCTCACTAAGCGAACTTTTCAGCGCTAGACTAGCGCGCTCATGGAAAATCCAGTAGCTAAAGGCTCAAAACGCGCTAAGCGGGCTCCTACCGCGCTTAGCACGCTTCCTGGGAAATAAGTTGTATTCTTCTGACCATGCTTAGCGCGCTTTCATGTTTTATATTTATTGTTATGATTATAGTCATTGTAAGAGCACAGATTGTGTCTTAGTTATATCTCTATGTTTTGATGATAACACTTATATATTTTGTATTCAAGAATTATATACTCTAAACGTGTTCTAGATTGTTTGCTACAGGCACTAAAGAAAATTATCTTAAGAAAGCAAAATTGGATCTGAACATTGTTTTTATGAAAGGCTTCATAAGTTCAAGAGCATCTTAAGTGAAGATCTGAACACTGCTCCCAGAAGAATCTGACTACTGAAGATTCTGAAGAAGGAGCCTGTAAAGCATAGAAGACTCTGCTCTGAGAGATTTACACGCTCAAGCACACAAGCTGCACATACTCTGATTCAGCTCAATCTGAAGAACATTTAAGACTCTGAAGATCCAGATGATCCTTAGTCTGGAGACTCTGAAGATTCAGATTCTAATGTTGAAAGCTGAACTTACTTTGAAGAAGATTTAAATATGTACGTTGGTTTTTCTCAACAGCTCTTTCCTATTTTGTGCTAGACACAAGGACACAGACAAAAAGGTTTTATCTGTGCATTCCTTTCTGAGGAAAGTTTTCTGCAAGTGAAGACAAAAGGCATCAGGCTTGTTTCAGCACAGCCTCCAATGTGAAAACAAAAGGCTTCAGGCTTTTCTGCACAGCCTTCAACGTAACAAGACTTCTTGGATCTTAGTGCCTATATAAAGAAGTCCACTCCATCTTCTTCAGTATCGAATCTCTAGCAAAATCACTCCTCAAAGCAAATCTTTCAAAGCTCTTAATTATATTAGTTTTGCTTTAACTTTGTTCTTAACTTAAGAGAAATATCACTGTTGTGATAACAGCTTATTAGAAGCATTCTTACTCTTGTAATAGTTTTACATTGTTTGTAAAAGGTTTTCCTTAAGAGGATCCAGTTGGGATCAGTTGCTCTTGAGAAGACTAAGAACAGTTGTTCTTAGGTGTTGCTATTTGTAATCTGTTTGATTAAAATAGTGGATTAAGTCCTTGACAGAGAAAGGCAAATCACTCTTGAGAGGGTGGATTGGAGTAGTTGTTTTCAACGAACCAGGATAAAAATATCTGCGTTCTAATCTTTGATTTTTAGTCTTACTTATTCAACCCCTCCCTTCTAATTAATTTTCTCACCTTCAGTTGGCATCAGAGCTCCGGTTCTGCGTGTGCTCCACTTAACCGTGACAGTTAAAGATCCTGTGAGAAAGATACTTTGATATTTGTTTTGTTGTCAATATGGATACATCTACATCAACTTGCAACAACAAATATGAAGGAGATAGGATCAGTACCAAGCCACCCATGTTTGATGGGGAAAAATTTGACTATTGGAAAGATAGAATAGAAAGTTTTTTCCTTGGGTATGATGCTGATCTTTGGGAT